GGGGGGGGGGGGAAATCACTGCAGGGAGCCGATCTACTGAGCCGACCTGTGACAGTTTCACGGTCACAGGTCGGCTCAGATTATGAGGCTGAGTGAAAATCACTCGCCTCACAATTCTCCTTCAAGCCAAAACTTTTTTTTTGTTTTTGATAGAGTGAAGAGGGATTAGAACACCAGTCGGGTTTTTATTGCTGTCTGTGAACCCCTTAGAGAGATTCACCTTCTCCATTTGTCCTAATGACTGTTATCACTGAAAGTGAAAGAAAAAAAAAAAAAAATCACAAATTGTGGGTTGTCCTCATAACAGGAATAGATGGGAAATCTTCCAATAGGGACAAGAATTCTGATGACCCTGCTGACCACCAGGGAATTCCCTCACTTGAGAGATTTCCTCACTTCCTATTAAGGTTATAGGATGGGAAGTGAAATTTCCCCAATGGAAAAAACAGATGGCAAAAAAGTTGACAATATAAATCGCAGTTATAATCGTCCCTTACTCTATCCAAAAACGAAAAAAAAAAAAAGTTGTGGCTTCGTTAAGATTTCTGAGGTAATATTTACTGCTTTTTGCATGGCCTTCCTAATCATTTTAACAGCTGTTCCCGGACAGTAAAATGTTATCAACTAAACGAAAGCAGACATTAATAATCATTTAAAATATTCAGAATGGCTACTCCTGAACTGTTATAATGCAACCTTAACACACAGCAATGACTTCATGTTTTATTACTTACTTGTATTTTCTCCCTCTTAGAACAGAGGTACAAGTTAAATGACAGCCTTACCTCCAGCCTGAGCTCAGTGCTCATCATTAGGGATGCACCAATCCTTGTATTACTATCGGTGCCGATACCAAGTATTTGGGCGAGTACTCATACGCTTCTATATGCTGACAGCACAGAGCCATGCTGCAGCCAGGATGGATCCCAACAATACTGTCGACATCCAACCGGCTGCCTGATTACCAGATCTGCCCACTCAATGGAGGGACAAGCAGGACGGGGGGAAATCTCTGCGGGGAATGGCAACTGGCAGTCACCAGTCTCTGCAGGGAGAAGATCGTGAGCTGGGCTGCAGTTCACAACCTCTCAGCTCTCGATCTACAGAGCTGGCGTGCGACAGCTGCAGTGTCCAAACCGGCTTTAAGTATTGGGAAGAGTAAATTTTACTCTTCCAATAGTTCTCCTTTAGGGCCTGTTCACATGATTTTCAGGTCCTGATCAGGTCCGGATCTGCAGACGCGGTGCTATGTGTTTTGATGCGTTCCACTTTTTTGCTGGAGTGGGGCTGTCAGTAGGTTAGCTGCAGTGCAGTGCGTTTGACGCGTTTTGCGTTTCCGGACAATACAAAATGTGACATGCAGTATTTTTCTGTCGTAACCTGAACGGACTGCGCACGTGACAACTGTAGCGCACGTGAGAACTGTAGCCCATAAAACAATTAGGGATACATTGGGATGCATTTTTAGTGCAGGAGCGTACGGATCAGGTCAGCACAGAAAGCGGACGTCGTGTGAACAGGCCCTTAAGGGTGAATAATCAGATTCTTGAAAGTGTTAATTTCTGCCTGGCCAGACAAGGATGAGTTCTATTTTAATCTGCTATGTCGATGCTCTCAGACAGATGTGACTTTTTTGAGCATGCGCCTCAAAGCTGTCAGTCAAGAAGCCATAGAGACCAATTCCTCCCAATACATTATTGTCAGAGGGTTTTTTTAAGCTATTTCCATATATGATCAGCTCACCTTTCCTTATACCTGAATGTGGACTAAATGTGGCTCATGAGCAAAACTAAGACTGGTCTATGGCACTAGTCACTGTTGTCAACAGCCCGAAATTCTTCATTTACTCTTTATTTACGTATTTTCATAGATCTAATTTTTACCCATAGTAATTAGCAGCATTGGGGATCTCATTGTTTACTGATTATTTTTCTCTTTCCTGGTTATATTAACTTTTAAGTTTTAATACAGGTTGTGCTACTGTAACAATGCCTATGATTGAAGACACCAAGCCACATATACCAACGAAGCCCTGACTGGTTTGGTAAACTCCCAGACGGTCAAGAGGACTTAGAAGGTCACAGACATTTTTTATTGTGTCCAGTAAGACAGGTGGGTTATGTCTGAGACTCAGGTAGAAGATGGTTACAATATTCTCAAGGATTTTTAGTATGGAATTACTGTGGTTATGATCTGGTTCTTTATCACAACCAGAATCTTTTCCATTGTGCTTGCTCCCCTTGACCTCTTCCTTCATGCACCTTCTTATTATGTATACATCCCTGGCTAGGTGAAACAAAAGAGAGTAGAAATAGCACCGAGTAGCTCGAAGCCTCCATGTGATCTTGTTGATGTCAGACACCAGCCCCACACTAATTGCCCACAGCACACTGTCACAGGTGAAATATAGAACGCGGTTTAAATTGGCAGCGGTCAAGCAGTAGCACAAGGCAGAATCTGAGAGTTGGATAGCAGCTTTTGAAGCTTCAATGGCATGTATAAAGTTGCCCAGTCGGAACACTGAAAGACAATAAACACAGTTAATCATTTAACTCTCAGATCTGCAATGTGACAACGTTCTACACAATGCAACCAAGTTCACTGGACAAGTTCAAAAAATCTACAGAAATTATTCATGTTACAAAAGTGGGTTGATGACAAATGCAAACAGGATCCAGAATAAAAAAAAGTAATTAGGTGGGAAGCCTCATTCTAAAAGCAGTATTAAACTCTCAAACTTTTTTCAATAATAAATCCAGATCAAACAAATATACCCGCTGCCCGGCTTCCTGATTGGCTGTGAGGCCGGCTCCATGTTCCCTCGTGGCCCTGCCGGTCAGAGAAAATCTCCCTCTGACCGGAAGTTCCAATATCGGGGAAGATATTGCCCCATCCTTATTGCCCAAATACTTATCAACACCGATACTAGTATCGGTATTGGTGCATCCCTAAAATATACATTGCCCAGCAAAGTATTTCTGCCCAAGCACTTTACAGTCATCATGTTTCTGAACAGCCGACTCTAACTCTCCTCAGGAGAGGAGTGCAGAGAGTGTGGCAGGGGAAGGTACGTGCAGGAGAGGAGTGCAGGAGAGAAGTGTAAAGGGTTCCACAGATCAAAATATGTTAATCCCATCTTGCAGGTATAATGTATATATGCTGGGGGACCTTAATGCCGACTGTAAGCGTATATGCTTCAGCCACCCACTAGTGCGCTCCCAGCAAAGTGACTAAGTTGTCACCGACCAGCTCCAAGTCATTGTTGACGATTGGGAGCTGGCGAGATGGGCTAACAATTATGTGGCTGCCAATCACAGTGCTCAGGTGACTGGGAGGCCCGCCTCCAAATCTGCAGTCAGTGGCAAGGGGTTAAAGGGCAAGTGTCAGGTAACATGTTTTTAACTTGTCACTATACTTGACAACAAGTTTCAGTAAAAACCCAGGAGAAAAGAATGTGCACATATACATGTGTTCATACCATATCGACAGGGCCGGTGCAAGGATTTTTGCCAACTCAGGCGAAAGTGCATTTTACCGCCCCCCCGGCACGCACGCACACACACCACTCCAACATCCTGTGCCCCCATGTCATCCTGTATCTCCATGCCATCCTGTGCCCCCATGTCATTCTGTGCCCCCATGTCAGCTCGCTGCCAGTGCCAGGTCCCATTAGCGGCGAACTTCCGGGTGGAGAAGAGAATACAGACAGCGATCGCGCTGCCGAAGCGGCAGAAGTGTGTCCCCCCCCCGGGCGGCTCCTCAGTCCCTCAACAGGTCGACGTCGCCTCCTGGATGACGCCGCTGTTGCTCCGCCTCCTGCAGCCCTTTCTCCTTCACATGCGGCTAAGAGAACCAGGGGCGGGGCCACTTACATCACTCACTGACGTAGGACGTCTCAGTGGTGCTTCTGGCTTCCCCATAACGCTGCCCTGGCCCGACAAGTTGAACTGCACTGGTCAGCGCCGCTGCGGCCAGCGGGGACTCGTCCTTCAGATGCCGCCCGCAGCGGCAGCCTATACTTATCTTCTCGATCGGACTTATGCCGGCGACTGTCACTGCCCGGACGACTTTTTCGCCCCTGTTCCCTGCCGCCCTAAGGCAGCTGCCCATGTTGCCTTGCGCTAGCGCCGGCCCTGCATATCGATAAACAGTACAATCAATAAACGATACAAATATTCAATTGGTAGCAAACGATCTGAGAAAAAAAGAATTCTCCCCCCTTTACAGTACTGGCTGACCTTTCACTCACTTTAAGCGGACCTTTACACTCAAAAATCAAATTCTACCAATGCATCCCTCTATGAATGATGATTAATAACAACAGACATGTCCGGTGTAAAATGCTGTGATAGTGAAATACTTACACTTGCAGAACATTCACTTCCTGCTTTGAATGTCCAAAATGACTTCAGTTTGCCAAAGCAATGCACACTGGGATTGCCTTGTCATCAGCACAGTATTGCTGGGAAATCTCATCTGTAATCTCACGAGATCTCATGGAAAGGCATTTTCCTCCCCTGAGATGATGTGCATGGTCACATGTCTGGTCACATGTCTGGTCACATGTGCCAGAAATCCAGGAAGTAAAAGGAACGCTAGTAATCTGCCCTTAATAAACATGGACACTGTTAGAAGACTGGGAAAGAGAAGAGAAATAAGGAATGCAAAGAATACAAAGTCGGCAATTATCTAGAAGTATGTGTTTGTAGATTGTCATTACTAAACATTTCTAAAGATGTCTGTTGTTATTTTAAAGATAAGTAAAGGTCCACTTCAAAGTTAACCTGTGCACTTCATATAACTGACTGATACAGACCAACAAACAGTGTGCATATGGCAGTCATGTAATCAGACATTCATTCAGCAGAAGCTTCCCCTGTGAAATGAGACACAGCCTGTAATGGAACTGCTGCCAGGGTGTAGTATAGCATGGGGGAATTGAGATGGTACAGTTGCATCAGAGCAGATGCTTCTTTGCACACATCACTGGACACGGATGGGGTTCTTTTGAGGACACGGATGTGGGAAGCTGGTAACAAAAATGTTGCCAGGACTAGATGATTACTGGGTCAAATAAAGAGTAAATATAAAAATATGAAATCTCACAAAAGGAAAACAAAAAACAAAACAAGAGATGGTATTCTAGAACATAATTATAACATCAAACCCTTAGAACATTAATAGACCCAAACTTACAATAGCTGTCCTTAGTCTTGGGATGTTAAATACATTTGTTAATGGGAGTGTTGGTAATTAACAAAGTGTCTTGAAAAGCCTGGGGGGTTCTGCCAAATACTTGCTTAATCACAGCCTTTTACCCCTATAGGACTGGACTGTTTCTTTGCTACTCAGTTAGTGCAACCTTTAATATTTACCCCAAGATTAAAAAAAATAAATGTGGTTTCCACTTGTTTAGACATTTCTTTGCATCATACAGATGTAAAACAAAAATCGGTTTATGCAAACGATTTAAATAACTCTAAATTAAGATAAAGTCAGGTATCAGACATACATTGGTGTGATGGCACACTTTTTACAAGTCTTGCAACTCTGTTAAATTACAATGTGTATATAAATGTGTTAGCTGAGATCCTAGGACTAAGTTTCTTCAAGAACTTTTCCTCCTAGTTGGTGTATATCAGGTCAGAAGCAGCTTTTCCAACCCTGCACTAAAAGGGAGTATGTGCTGGAGAGGACCGTGGAGGGTATGTCATGGGGAGGTATGCTCAGGAGAGGTGTGTGGAAGGTATGACATGGGGAGGTGTGCGCAGGAGAGGCGTGTGGAAGGTATGACATGGGGAGGTGTGCGCAGGAGAGGCGTGTGGAAGGTATGACATGGAGGGGTGTGCGCAGGAGAGGCGTGTGTATATAAATGTGTTAGCTGAGATCCTAGGACTAAGTTTCTTCAAGAACTTTTCCTCCTAGTTGGTGTATATCAGGTCAGAAGCAGCTTTTCCAACCCTGCACTAAAAGGGAGTATGTGCTGGAGAGGACCGTGGAGGGTATGTCATGGGGAGGTATGCTCAGGAGAGGTGTGTGGAAGGTATGACATGGGGAGGTGTGCGCAGGAGAGGCGTGTGGAAGGTATGACATGGGGAGGTGTGCGCAGGAGAGGCGTGTGGAAGGTATGACATGGAGTGGTGTGCGCAGGAGAGGCGTGTGGAAGGCATGACATGGGGAGGTATATGCAGGAGGAGTGTGGAGGGCATGACATGGGGAGGTGTGTGCAGGAGAGGAGTGTGGCGGGCATGACATAGGGAGGTGTGTGCAGCAGAGGGGTGTGGAAGGTATGACATGGGGAGGTGTGTGCAGCAGAGGAGTGTGGCAGGTATGACATGGGGAGGTGTGTGCAGCAGAGGAGTGTGGCAGGTATGACATGGGGAGGTGTGTGCAGCAGAGGAGTGTGGCAGGTATGACATGGGGAGGTGTGTGCAGCAGAGGAGTGTGGCAGGTATGACATGGGGAGGTGTGTGCAGCAGAGGAGTGTGGCAGGTATGACATGGGGAGGTGTGTGCAGCAGAGGAGTGTGGCAGGTATGACATGGGGAGGTGTGTGCAGCAGAGGAGTGTGGCAGGTATGACATGGGGAGGTGTGTGCAGCAGAGGAGTGTGGCAGGTATGACATGGGGAGGTGTGTGCAGCAGAGGAGTGTGGCAGGTATGACATGGGGAGGTGTGTGCAGCAGAGGAGTGTGGCAGGTATGACATGGGGAGGTGTGTGCAGCAGAGGAGTGTGGCAGGTATGACATGGGGAGGTGTGTGCAGCAGAGGAGTGTGGCAGGTATGACATGGGGAGGTGTGTGCAGCAGAGGAGTGTGGCAGGTATGACATGGGGAGGTGTGTGCAGCAGAGGAGTGTGGCAGGTATGACATGGGGAGGTGTGTGCAGCAGAGGAGTGTGGCAGGTATGACATGGGGAGGTGTGTGCAGCAGAGGAGTGTGGCAGGTATGACATGGGGAGGTGTGTGCAGCAGAGGAGTGTGGCAGGTATGACATGGGGAGGTGTGTGCAGCAGAGGAGTGTGGCAGGTATGACATGGGGAGGTGTGTGCAGCAGAGGAGTGTGGCAGGTATGACATGGGGAGGTGTGTGCAGCAGAGGAGTGTGGCAGGTATGACATGGGGAGGTGTGTGCAGCAGAGGAGTGTGGCAGGTATGACATGGGGAGGTGTGTGCAGCAGAGGAGTGTGGCAGGTATGACATGGGGAGGTGTGTGCAGCAGAGGAGTGTGGCAGGTATGACATGGGGAGGTGTGTGCAGCAGAGGAGTGTGGCAGGTATGACATGGGGAGGTGTGTGCAGCAGAGGAGTGTGGAGGGCATGACATGGGGAGGTGTGTGCAGGAGAGGAGTATGGCACTTATGACATGGGGAGGTGTGTGCAGCAGAGGAGTGTGGAGTGTAAGTCGGGGGTGGGCCATATGTGCAGGGGAGGAGTGTAACGAATATGACAGCAGGAGAGGAGTGAGGCGTGTAGGACAGCAGGCAGTATGTGAAGGAAAGGAGTGTGGGGGGTATGATGGAGAAAAGATGAGACCCTGGGGCATTGCTTACTGCTACTGCCACCTGGCAATTTTCAACTCCCACTGGTCACAGTCCAGCCCGCCCAAGGTTTGAAGAACAGTAAACTGGCCCCTTTTAAAGAAAGTTTAAGCCCCCCTGCTCTAAAGATTAAGCAATATCTAACACAATATCTATCCTCCGACTCCTCACTGACATCTGTAGATGTTTCCAAATCTCAGATCCCTACTATCTCTGTCCCAGCAAAGGACCAGGTGAACAAGCAAATGGCCAGAAAGCAGAATACAACACAAAGAACATTGACAGGAGGCTTTTGGTGGATATCAGGAAGAAATCTGGCCAAAGGCATGAGAGCAGATGTAGTGACATTTAACTATAAAACTGTCTAATTATCTTGTGCATATTAATATAAATCAGCACAATAGACATATACAAAAGGGAAACATTAGGGTTGGTAATACAGTGATTAGAGAACAGGGGATTAAAGTATTTATAACCATAGCAACTAAGGGAAAGTTCCGCAGCCAATTCTAGTACTTACATTTACGGCCAGAGCTCATGTTAGATTCCACTCGTTTGAGCTTCATTATCACTTTCTCTCTGCCAGCTTTATTCTCTAACATATAACTAAGCAACATGCATGCATACTGAGTAGCTCTGAAATGGAAAAACATGAGTATGATGGTTTTAATGGATAAAAAACAACAAAATGAATTATTTTTTGTTTTTGCAAAGCAACTCTACATCTACCATCTGCCAAAACAAAATGCTACCCAGCCACTGATCACATTACCTACTGCACAATGAAAGATCACAGACACTGAGCACTTAACAGATCCTGCAAAGATGTACCTGAAAAGTCGATCTCTTCCTTGGCTTTGGTTCATAAACTTGATAAATCCGTCCATAGTAGCTATTTGTGTCAGACACATTCTGACTGTAAAGTTCTACACCTGTAAGAAATCTTTAAAAAAAAAAAAAAGTTTAGAAAAAAGGCCTTATACTGAAACCGCTTATTTATAAGAAAAAATCCCATCCTAGTCTAATATGCAAGTTACAATAATGGTTTGCTTTCTTTTTTTTTGCAAATTGATTGCAGATTCTTACCTGCTTTTGTTCTGCAGATAATAATATCAAATGACATGATTACTAGCAGTGTTGCAGTAGAAAACATTGGACCCTTTCATTCCTTTAGCCCTTTTGCACCTTATAACTAGGAGGTGCACCGAATTGAAAATTTGAAAAAAATGTCAGACTGAAACCGAAAATAATTTGTTTTCTAACTTTTTACATTTTTAAAAAAATATTTTATTTATTATTTAAAACTTTTTAATTTTGAATTTAATTTATTTTTGTTAAATATTTTTTAACTTTACTGTGGGGGGCTTTGGTGAAACATCAGAGGTCTAACCAGATCCCTGATATTTCCCTTTTGCAATAGGAAAAGAGTTTGAGGACACAGAGTCCTCAATCTCTTATTTTGCAGCCCCTGTAATGAATGAACAGGAATCCTCTATACTGAGTGTTCCTGTCCATTCATAACTTGTGGAGATAGTATGTTTACCATGTGCACAATCATGAATTAATAGGAAGTGATGTGAATCACTTCCTATTCATTCATAACTGGTACATAACTCGTACTATGTCTAGTTATTTACAAACAGTCAATAACTGCTTGTACCGCTCTTCATCCTGATTCGCTGTCACAGCTGAGCCAACGATGCAGACAGGGGAGCTCGGTCTATTTTGACAGCTGACTCCTCCCCCTCACTGCAGGCTCGGGCTCCTGTGACAGCGCATGGCTGTCTCTGCCCCCCTCACACCGCTCTCCATTCTGATCGGAGCAGTGCGGGAGGAGAGCCCGGCCTCCTGTGACACGCCGGGTGTTCACAGCACTCTCCTCCCCCACACCACACAGCCTCCTCTAAAAGTTTCTCTCCTCCCCGCTGGACGTTGCGCTGTGTGAGAGGGGACATAGACCAGCACCGAGCGGGGAGGAGAGAAACCAGGCATTCACCGCAATTTCAGCCAAAAGATGGTACTTTTAACACAAAAGTGCCATTTTCGGCCAATATGTTTCGGCGGCCGAAATTTCAAGGCATCCCTAGTTATAACCCACATTTTAGGCCTGATAATTTCTTATAACCCCCAGAATCATATATTTCCTGAAAGCAGAGACACTGTCGAATAAAATGGTGGAAGTTACAAACTGTTGTGTTGCATATTAGCGCAACTCTTTATCAAATCCGAAGTTTCAGGAAAAAATTCACTTAAGATAATTTTAGAGCACAAAAACACAATATACCGTAATATCCATACAATATAATATCCACACACAGTAAAAAATTTAATATGGGGTTGTGCCTGCGAGGCCTGGGAAGCAAGGCGGGGGTCTCGGGGGTGGGTGCACTCTTTACCACCCTGTTGAAGTGATCTGGCATCAGCTCAGCAGCCAGAGTCGCTTCCAGTGTAAAGTCAACGGTCGCCTTTGGCCCCTGCCAGCGATGTACGGCATTGCTGGCAGGGAAAGGGTTAAAAGCCTGTACAAGTCATCAATTTAGAGTTAAACGTGAATACTGGCCCTAGAATGATTACTCTCACTCTGGTGTATGCGGCAATACCCAACTGTGCGGCGCAATTGCCATTTTTGTACGTAGAGGCACCCAGCATATGTTGCGTTAATATGCGTGTCTACGTGGGGACTTAAAACATTTTTTGGGTGTTTTTACATTTATTTTGCTTTTTAAACATTTTAATGTTTAAAAAAAATGTTTAAATGTTTTTAGCCCCTATGTCATAGCACTTTAGTAATGATAGACACTTAATGTCACCTTTGCAGCCCACTGAAGCTGATCAAGCACAGATTGTGCTTGATCAACTTCTTCCCCGGCCTCTGTAGACGGGAAACAAAAGCTCAGAAACCGGAAGTCATGAAATCATTGTCGCTTCCGGTTTCATTCAGTGGGGAGGAGATCAGGGAACAGATGTTCACATATCTCTCTCCCCTCTACCTGCCCACACTAGGCCTGGAGAAAGGGCAGCGGAGCCCGAGAAGCAAGACAAGGGTTGTCGGGCGGGGGCACATGTTTACTGGCCCCTTGAAGCGATCAGACAGCTTTACAGCAGCCCAAATAGCTTCCACTGTAAAGCTGACAGTTGGCTTCACGCAGATAAACAGAGTCTGTTTGCAGGGGCCCGCTGCTGCTGACACATGACATACTCCGGTGGCAACAAAAGGGTTAAAACAGTGCTCTGCCTTCACTTTAACATGATGCTTAGGGGTTATTTATAAATGGGGTTATTGCATAGCTTATTCGTCCAGCGATGCTGCATGTGAATTTTTTCTGTGTGAGCATGAGGCAAAACCAAATATTCTTACTGTAATTTCTCTTCTGGTCGAATATTCTTCAATTGGTGTATTAGTATAGAACATAGTGAATGAGGAAATACTGCATTATGGCCACCAGATGAAGCTGAGGATGATAAGAAACAAAAAAGTTAGAAGGGAGACACAATGTTACAATTCAAGAGACTGTTGGAGGGAATAAGCATAGAAATGTATCCACTGATACTATGGGGACAGTAATGGTTACATCTTAAGGCCTGGGTCACAGCTGGGCGTTTTACAGCGCGTTCCTACGCGCTGTAAAACGCTCAACATGTGAAAACCAATGATTGCCTTTGGACATGGTTCCCACCTCGGCGTTTTACAACGCGTAGGAACACGCTGCAAAACGCCCTGTGCCCAAAGAAGTACAGGAGCTTCTTTGGGGCGTATTTGCCACGCGAATCCATTAGGATTCAGCCGGATAGCCCTCGAAAAAGCGCGTTTGTCATGCGTTTGTTAAACTGCGAATCGCGGTAAAAACGCGCGGCACAAAACACGCATATTCGGTACGCCTAGGTGTAAACCCAGCCTCATGCTCATTGTCTCCAGCGTTCTCTTCAATTGTTACTGACATTTCTATATTGTATTTATTTCCTATGATCATCAGCTCCATCTAGTGGTCATAATTTGGTATTTCCCCCATTCACTCTGTTCTGTATGAATAAACCTACTGAAGAACATTCAACTAGAAGAGAAATGTCACATACCACCAATCACTGTGAAATATTCATGTGCTGCTGGTATAGTCGAATGCCTCATTTCCACTAGTGTAGGTGAACAATAAGAAATTTTCAGTGAAGATCCTTGTCAATACTCAATCCTTGTCAAGGTGAGCAATCGTGCTCACCTTGCATTTTAAACCATAACTAAAATGTATTTATGAATTACAGGTATTATGGAGCTGACAATTTACGCTTAACATACTTCACATTAGCCCCTGCCCTCAAGGAGCTTACAATCTAAGGTCCCTATCTTACATGCACACACATACATGGGTCAGACAGGAGTGTGGGAGGAAACCAGAGGAAACCCACACAAGCACGGGGAGAACATGCAAACTCCATACAGATAAGTCACCTGACTGGGATTTTAATGGAGGACCTCCAGAGCTGGAAGGAAGAAGTGTTAACCACTACGCCACTGTGAATATTTCGCTATGGCCAATCATGCCTCCTCTTCACTGTAGGGGTAACAATCCGTCTCCCATAAGGTAAGCTGTCCCCCAGCATTTCTTGTAGCAATACAAAAACTACTCCAATATCATTGTTGGAGTTGGTACATGCAATAGAATTGTTGTGTGAATCATTTTTTTATTGATTTCGATAAACCATTTAAAATGGGACTATGCTATGTGCCGTTCTCTTTTTTATGTTGTTACAGAGAAGCAGAGGACATCTTACCTTATGTGAGAGGAACAGAGACAAGATCAGTCACCTTGCACAAGGAAAGGGAGCAGGAGTGACAGCAGGTCTTTATTACACATTATAGCTTCTGCACAAAGGTAAAGTTCCACACTAGATTACTGCACAGAGCTGGAAGAAATACACAAAAGCACACATGATTCATAGAAGAATACACATCTTGTGTTTTGAAAATATTTGTTTATCTCGGAGTTCAGCTTTAATATAGAGTGACCTGTGGAGCTTGGCACTGCCCCCTCATTCTATGCATTCCTCCTATGTAAACTTCTATAGCAAAGTCCACATTTGTGTATGATCTCCCCCGCCTATAGCTCATAAGTCCTATTGACAAGAAGTGGAACACAACCATCAGACTGACAAACAATCATGGTTATAAAGTCATATCTGCCCCTACATCTCCTCTCATGCAGACATTAGTTGCTCAGCACAGTGACAGGTATGATTAGCCCGGTACATGTATTCTAGCAACATTACATAACCAGGAGTACTTTATCCAAACTTTGTAATTGTCCACAATCGGCTAAGACAAACGGGACAGAAGTGCACAGGGTGCAAGGCAGGTGCAGCCTATGGCCGGACTGTACTCACCTGTAGGGTGACCCCACGATCACAGCCGTCATATATGAACCATACTTCATACTGCATACCCAGCCGCGTGCACGCATCTCCACCTTCCCTACTGCGCAGGTACAGTGCAAAGTGTGCGCGCCCCCGACCTCCCGTGCAAGGGGCAGTGTCACGTGATCTAGTCGGGGCTGGTCACCGATGTATCCTTTTCCCAGCCACGCCTCTTAGACTCGTAAGACCGGAAGTGGGTGCCTGGTCCTTCCCAGCCGCTTGGTTACCATGGTGACAAGCAACAAGCCAAGAGAGCAGCATGGACATGTTGCTGAATGTAAATGCTCACAGTGGATGACAGGGGCTGTTATGGGTGAGAGCCATTGTTCATTCTTAATTAATTCTTTACATTATACAGACATAACAGACTAAATATATTTAGTGGTGGGCAACTCTGGTCCTCCAGCTGTTGTGGAAGTCCCATGAGGCATTGAAAGACTGGCAATTACAGACATGACTCCCAGAGGCATGTTGGGATTTGTAGTTAAAGCACAGCTGGTGGGCCATAGTTGCCACCCCTAACATAGAGTAATCGTCAGATGGTAAATTGTAGAGGTCAGTTTATGCCAAATATGTTTCAAATGCTTCCCATTAGACAATGTGACCATCCTGGAATGGGTTTCCGTAATTATGGACTTGTCTGGTAGTACACAATTTTTGTATCAAAATGTGCAGACTTACAAAAAAATGACTAACATTTCCTTACCTGAATCAGCTTCTGTACTCTCCTCAACCGTACTATAGCCAACATTCCCAGACATTCTGGAACATGACTTTGTGGCAGCTAAAATCTCAATAACTAGATCTTGGAACTTAACATTAAATAATTATGAGTGGAACTTTTCAAAATTAAAGGAAATAATAATTAACCACTTCAAGACCAGGTGACCCCTTCCTGGCCAGGCCATTTTTCAGTATTCAGCGCTGCGGTCCTTTGACTGACATTTATTCCGTCATGCAATGCTGTACTGAAATGAATTTTATACCATGTTTTGGGGACAGATAGAGCTTTCTTTTGGCGGTATTTATTCACCACTGGGGTTTTTATTTTTTACTATATTTCAGAAAATGTACTGAAAATTTTGGGGAAAAAAAGTGTTTTTTACATTATGTTAGGAAACAATTATTATTACCCAATTTATTGGTAAAATATAAAAGACGGGGTCACGCCGGGTAAATAGACACCAAACATGTCATGCTTAAAAATTGCTCGCACCCACGAAATTGCAAAAAACGACAATACCCAAAATTGACCATAGGTAACGCTTTACAAGCTGTTACCGCTCATCAGTTTAGTGTTATCAGTGATTGATGGCCCTAAAATGATCGCTCTCACTGCGACGTTCGCGGCGATATGTAACATGTGTGGCGTAATGGGCGCAATCATCGATTTAGCAGGTATGCGCACCTGACGCATGTTTGCATGAGTGTATGTATGGGTGGGGGCTTTTAAAAAAAAATTTGTTTTTTTAAATTCTTTTTTATGTGTGACTTTTCCTATTTGTTTTTTTTTTTTCCACTTTACTTTATTGCTATCACATAGGGGACTAAGAAACCCCTCTATGTGATAGCAAAATATGTGGCAGGTCCTCTTTATGGAGACATCATGGGTCTCCTAGACCCCTAATGTCACCTAGGACCCCCCTGAAGAAGCTGATGAAGCAGAGATCTGCTTCATCAGCTTCTCTCCAGCGTCTAAAGCTGGAGAGTGACACAAGAATGCGGAAGTGATGTAATATACACCACTTCCGCATTCTGACAGCGGAGAGGGGACCGGAGGGAGCTCGTGTACCGAGCTCCCTCTGATCCCGTGACAGAGGCCGTATGCTGGTCCCGGACTCGCACTGGGCACAGAGGAGCCTGGGACCGGCATGATCGGCGTGACAACGGGAGGGGGAACACGGGCCGGCAGGTCATACAAGCGATCCGCCAGCTCTATAGCCGGCGGATCGCTTGTATGTTAACAGGCATCGGTGCCTGTTTTTAAATCGCCGGTGTTTCCCGCGCGCAGGAGGGCGTGGCTGAGCGGACGTCTAAAGACGCCCGCTCAGATCTAGAGACCTCTAGATGGTGGTTAAAGGCCATCTCTGGGATAAAACTAACCACTCTTCCACCCTAAGCAACAAAAAAGTATCTAAATGCCCGTTTACCCACCGAAATCTGCAGTCATGTGATCCTCCAGTATTGAGTCTTTTCTCTTCCTTTGTTACTTGTGGCGGGGCCACTTCCAATTGGCTGTCCAGCGGTGGAGTCCTCTCAGGATCCAGAAGAGACATTATTATTGGAAGGGGAGAGTAAGAGAATGGCCGGCAATGTACCTTCTGCAGCACTGAATTAACAGTCCCCCATAAACCAGAAAAGGCACCAGCGAGGGACCTGAAGGGGGGACCAAAGCAGGGTAAACACCAAATTAATTTCAAACAAGCCAAATCAATTTCAGAACGTTCGTTCAACTTTCTAATAGTTGATGGGGTCAAACCAATACTTAATTTTGACCTCAGTGATGAAAAAATTCAAAGGAGCATGTTGGAAATTTTTTCTCCATCAAACGAAATTCTAACACTAAAACTCCATTCATTCCAAAATCGAATGTTAAAATCAAAACGAAATTCCAAACAGCATTCGACAAGTCTCTGATGGCATTATCAAACGGTTGTCAGATAGTTCTATAATTTGCAGGGATTTTCTGCTGAAGAAATGTATCTCTGTTACCCAACATGGCACACAACAAAGCTTTCTTGGAGCGTCAGTGTGCAACAGTCATCATGACTGGATAGGAGAAGTGTTCAGCGGGCATGGAGCCAGCTTTACAGCAATGGGGAGCATATGAGGACTGCACTGTGTGGATGTTAACTGCACCCACCAATTAACATTGATACTTCAAGTGATATTAAAGTCAAAATGTTGTTAATCTATTTCAAATGCTTACTAAATCAATTACAATGGATGCTGCTTCTTGGTGTTTAAAAGTTTTAGTTTCCTGCAGAAACATCTGGTCCCCTGAGCACTGGTGCTGATACCCTCTTTTGGGGTGGCTCCTTTCCCTTGTAGGGTCCTAGTAAGCTGTATGCGTCTCCACAAACACAGAGGCACAGCAAGACAAGTCACTTACCTTATTTCCACTCCCTCTTTCTTCCTTCTCCAAGCTAGTAGATGGACATCTGCTGGAGTCTGCTCTGTCCTTTGTACTGGACAGGAAGTTCAGGAAAGCTGAGCTGAGAGAGAGTTGAAGTCAGTTATTTGGAAATATGACGACTGTTGTGTTTGGACAAAAATGTAAAGAAATGCTGGGTAATGCATATTTCATTGGTCTGGATTTAGTATTTTAAAAAAGTTTGAGCGATTAATACCACTGTCACAGGAAGCAGAGCAGGCAGTACAGGGAGGAGAGCTCACTCCTGTGACAGCTCACAGCTGTCTCCTCCCCGCTCTCCATCATGGGTCTCTGCCTGGCACAACAACAGTGCGTAGAGAGCTTCATGGAATGGGTTTCCATGGCCGAGCAGCTGCATCCAAGCCTTACATCACCAAGTGCAATGCAAAGCGTCGGATGCCGTGGTGTAAAGCACGCCGCCACTGGACTCTAGAGAAGTGGAGACGTGTTCTCTGGAGTAAACTCCATTCATTCCAAAATCGAATGTTAAAATCAAAACGAAATTCCAAACAGCATTCGACAAGTCTCTGATGGCATTATCAAACGGTTGTCAGATAGTTCTATAATTTGCAGGGATTTTCTGCTGAAGAAATGTATCTCTGTTACCCAACATGGCACACAACAAAGCTTTCTTGGAGCGTCAGTGTGCAACAGTCATCATGACTGGATAGGAGAAGTGTTCAGCGGGCATGGAGCCAGCTTTACAGCAATGGGGAGCATATGAGGACTGCACTGTGTGGATGTTAACTGCACCCACCAATTAACATTGATACTTCAAGTGATATTAAAGTCAAAATGTTGTTAATCTATTTCAAATGCTTACTAAATCAATTACAATGGATGCTGCTTCTTGGTGTTTAAAAGTTTTAGTTTCCTGCAGAAACATCTGGTCCCCTGAGCACTGGTGCTGATACCCTCTTTTGGGGTGGCTCCTTTCCCTTGTAGGGTCCTAGTAAGCTGTATGCGTCTCCACAAACACAGAGGCACAGCAAGACAAGTCACTTACCTTATTTCCACTCCCTCTTTCTTCCTTCTCCAAGCTAGTAGATGGACATCTGCTGGAGTCTGCTCTGTCCTTTGTACTGGACAGGAAGTTCAGGAAAGCTGAGCTGAGAGAGAGTTGAAGTCAGTTATTTGGAAATATGACGACTGTTGTGTTTGGACAAAAATGTAAAGAAATGCTGGGTAATGCATATTTCATTGGTCTGGATTTAGTATTTTAAAAAAGTTTGAGCGATTAATACCACTGTCACAGGAAGCAGAGCAGGCAGTACAGGGAGGAGAGCTCACTCCTGTGACAGCTCACAGCTGTCTCCTCCCCGCTCTCCATCATGGGTCTCTGCCTGGCACAACAACAGTGCGTAGAGAGCTTCATGGAATGGGTTTCCATGGCCGAGCAGCTGCATCCAAGCCTTACATCACCAAGTGCAATGCAAAGCGTCGGATGCCGTGGTGTAAAGCACGCCGCCACTGGACTCTAGAGAAGTGGAGACGTGTTCTCTGGAGTGACAAATCGCGCTTCTCTGTCTGGCAATCCGATGGAAATGTCTGGGTTTGGTGGTTGCCAGGAGAGCGGTACTTCCCTGACTGCATTGTGCCAAGTGTAAAGTTTGGTGGAGGGGGATTATGGCAAGGGGTTGTTTTTCAGGGTTTTTTTTTTTTTGGGGGGGTAACCTTTTTTTCCTGTAGTTCTCTTTAGGGTCACGGAGGGGAACATATACAAACTTTGTCCTGTGACTCAAAACTCTGTGTATTGCCCACTATATACTGAGAGCGCCGAAGCCGGGATGGATCCTGACAATACTGTCGAGATCCACCCAACTGACTGATTGACTACGGGCTCTGCCCGCCCCCTCCCCTGTCCGTTCCTCCAGTCAGCGCTGGAGGATTGGAGAGGGGAATCCCTGCGGGGAGCGGTGACTTATAGTCACCGCTCTCTGCAGGGAGATGATTGAAAAGTGAGCGAGCGACGGTCGTCTCTAACTATGAGGATGAGTGGAAATCACTTACCTCATAGTTCTTCTTTAAATAAAGAATTAATTCAAAAAAACAAAACAATCTTACCAGTAAAGATACAATTTTTTTTAGCAACCATTTATTGAAATAACGCGCTTAAATTACGTAACACACAAGTTAAAATATTTCCTTGACATGCAGAAAATGTGCTGCGTAATCGGTAAGCTGGATAAGGGCCCAGGAACGCAGAGCTCACACCCATAGCATCATCGCTTCTCTATATTTTCTGGCCACGCCCCTTATTAACCCTTAGTTAAATCTAATCAGCCCTGCTTATTTTTTTATTTGTACTTTTTCTAACCATTACTATTGCAGCATCACAGCTAGATCACCATTCTGTTCCTAGCCAGTAATACAGCGTACTAACAAACAAATCCCTCTGCTTTCTTCTCCTGTCAGCATGTTCCCCTTCACAATATGTTCATGTAGCTGAGTCTGAATGTCTCCCAGTCTTGCTCTTCATATCTTGTCTGACTGCTGCTGTACAGGGTCCAGGAAACTGATTTCAGTCAAATTCAGGAGTTTAGACTAGTTGCATTTAATACGTGCAATTATTTTACCCAGTACATAACGGCATTATTAGGTATTTTTTCTATATATGCCGGGAAATCTGGCTTCAGTCCTGACAAGGGGCTAACTGGCAGGATTATGAATACTCAAAGTTACAGACACAGAAAATTGCTCTTGTCTGCTCACCATACTGGTTGTTTTCAGATGCATGATTTGAGGGCTTTAAAAAAAAGTAATTTATGGTTAATGTTCTTTGTTTATTCTTATAGAATTTTCTTTGATTCTTTCCCTATTTGTTTTTTTAGGTAACCGCATGAATTTCAGGGAAGTCGTTTATTGAAGTCAGCCTGCAGACTATTCTATTCCCTGATCTCCAGTTTACAGGATGCCGATATACATTAGGAAAGGGCCACTAGAAATCCCTCCTGGTTCTGAGAAGGGCTGGGCCAGTGAGGAACATGAAGATTATTTCTTGAGGGATCCAGACCAAGCACGAGATTGTCTCCCACAGCCATATCGCATGATTGCAAAAGTGGTAGAACTCCTGATTGACCAGAGTATTGAGACTATCAAGATAAGGGAACAAACACGTGAGGAGGAGAAACTCAAAAAGAAAACTGACGTCTTACAACCAACTGCTGAAATCCAAGTAATTATATTTTTATCACTGCAATTTTATTATATAACAGGATCATCTAATACAACCTACAAATGCATATTGTAAAATAAAAGCTTGCTCCTATGTGTACCCCCCTTCATGCATACTGGAAATATGTGTCTCTGTAAACACAGCTTGAATCCCTTGTGTCATATTACCTCTGAGCCAGGTGAAGGTAGTGATGAGCTGCCTTTGGCTGGGCACACACCGTACAACCTTCGCAAGACTTTTGTCTTGCGATGGTTGTAAGGTACTTAAAAAAACGTACGATCTGCCTATCTTGCATAGGCAGATCGTACTTACGATGATTGCAAGCCACGCCCCCTGAGGGGCGGGCTTCCGATGACCGCAATGCCGAACGGGCAGTGTGCGCTTGCGCACACCGGCCCGTAGGGCTTTTATCGTACGGACATGCCACAAACCAGCCGAACATCGCACGATGCTCGGCGGGTTTTCGAACATGTCCGTAAGTTTAAAGTCGTGCGACCTTACAGTAGTAGAGGTCGCACGGCTTCCACACACCTTACGATAATCGTACGATTGCAGGATTTCCCGTGACTATCGTACGATTTTCGTAAGGTGTGTGGGGACCTTTAGGCTGGCCACACACCTATAGATTATCTGCAGATTTTCTATGGTCATATGGAAAAAAGTGCAACACATTCCTCCATCTACGCTAAACTGTGTGAATGGAGGAATCTCCCACTGGGCCAAGCTTCAGCATCTTGCTAGTCAGCCCCGCTGACTGTCAAAACACCTGAACAATCTGATTGGATGCAGGCATGGATCAGGTGTTTTGATACTTGGCCCAGTGGCTAAGCTTGGCCCAGTGGGAGATTCCTCCATCCACACAGTTTAGCGTAGATGGAGGAATCAGTTGTACTTTTTCCATCTGACCATAGAAAATCTGCCGATAATCTATAGGTGTGTGGCCAGCTTAAGGTTGATGCTGCTTTTTCTGACCTTTTGTGTGTTTATTCTGCTTGTTGTGTCATCTCTTCTGTCTCTGCGACCCTGACATCCCTCTGCTGGCTATATGTCTCGAGTCTATCAATATGTATCTGTGTCCTGCTCACTCCAACTTGTTTCTCCTCTCTTTGCCTTTATAGACATTTAATTCTGTCTTGACAGCCTTCTTTCTCAGTTCTTGCTTTTTGGATTAATTTTCCTTTGTGTGATCACCCATGGCAACTGTTTTGCCTTAACCACCTTAGTACCGGAGCAATTTTTTAATTGTTTCACATACACATGCTAAAATCGGAATTTTTGTATAAAACATTACTTTAAACCCCCAAACAATGATATGTTTTTTACTTAACTTTATAGCTATCACACTAGGACTAAAAAGCCCCTATCTGATAGCGTTTGGAGGTGACAGGTTATCGTTATGGAGACAGACCCCTGATGTCTCCCCTGCCCTCTAATACAGGCGATAAAGCACAGGATTGTGCTCGATCGCCTGTTTACCTGGCACTTCAGCTAGGCTTCTGACAGGTCTGAAGCAAGAATCGCTGTGAGCACATCGCTCCCTGCTTCACTGATCACGGAGCAGATTGGGGAACGGATATTTCCTGGTCTGCTCCTGCTCTCTGTCCTGAGAGTGTTTGCTGGAGAGGGGGACCACGAAAACTAGGGATGCACCGATACCGATACTAGTATAGGTATCGGTGCTGATACCGAGTATTTGGGCAAGTACTAGTACTCGCCCAAATGCTCCGACACCTTTCCCGATACTGGAACTTCCGGTCAGAGGGATATTTCCTCTGACCATCAGTGCCACGAGGGTACAAGGAGTCGGGAAGCTGGCTCCATGCTGTTTGGCCGGCTCAATGCTGATTGACCAGGAAGCCAGCTTCTCAGCCAATCAGTGTCAAGGCCGGACAAACAGATCTGACAATATGGTGACACAACTCCCACCCTGTAGGCACCTTATTGCCCTCACATAGATCCTTAGCAGCAGACATTACCGTACCAGTCCCTCGGCTAGCTGGGCAGACACCGCTCTCCAAGCTCTCTGGGATCTGCCCACGTCTCCTGTGTGTACAGCGCCCATGTGATCGGACCTCAGTCTGCTACTTCGCATGCACAGGATTTCTGAATGAGAGCGCTGGGCAGTCTGCGCATGCGCTATAGCAGGCTGAGGGCTGATCACATGGGCGCTGTACACACAGCAGACGTGGGCAGATCCGGGAGAGCTTGGAGAGCGGTGTCTGCCCAGCTGGCCGAGGGACTGGTATGGTAATGACTGCTGCTAAGTATCTATGTGAGGGGAATGAGGTGCCTGCAGGGTGGGGGTCGTGTCACCATATTGTCAGATCTGTTTGGCTGGCCTTGATGCCGATTGGCTTGGAAGCCGGCTTCCCTGCCAATCAGCATCGAACCGGCCAAACAGAATGGAGTCGGCTTCCCAGGCAATCAAGAAGCCGGGCAGTGGGTAATGACACACCGCCTGGCTTACTGATTGCCCAGGAAGCCAGCTCTATGCTACTAGAAGTACCAGTATCGGTACTCTGTATCTCTTCACAGGCTGCTACAAGTGATCTTGGCGGCTTTTGCCTGCTGTAAAAAACGATACCAAGATCATGCAGTAGCAGGATGTAGGTATGTCATAAGGTCCTGAAATGGTTAAACTAACCCCCTTGAGTGTCGTTATGCTTTGTCTTTGGTATAGCTGGTTCTCTGTCCCTGTTTCAATTTGGGCAGTGGCATATCCCGTTTGTCTGGCACCATCAAGTGGTGCTTCCTCATGCTTCCTCATTCTGTTGTTAGCCCTAATGTTACCTAGGCTTCATTCAATTACCTTGTACTTAGTGACAGTCCAGTCTCTTTTAATTCATGATACCCAGGGTTGAGAAGTAAAATGTGGGACCAGCTGAGTATTATTGAAGTCTGGTAGTTCATGAATCAAGATATGTATGATATGTATTGCAATGCTGATTCACAACAACAAGTACAATGGAAATTGTTCTTCCCAGAAAGTACTTAGAAAGTCCCAGGTGAATCCCATGAATTCTCAGATACATAACCATGGTAGTTGTTCCTGGTTGAACTGTGGTGCTCCACAAATTAATCTCCTGGCTATTGTATCACTGAAAGTTCACAGCTCACACATGCCGAGCTACTTACTTTATGGGGCACAAAAGATATATTGGCTGATATGTTGTTTTTAAAGAGCATGTAATCCATTTAGCTTGTTTTTTTCTAAACAAAAGTCTGATACACTATTCTGGTCCTTTTTATTACATGTTTCACCTATTTATTTACCTGGAGATGTTTATTTTATTACTTTTAGGTATCCAGAAGAGTTAATTGTCTTGCTATGGGGAAAAATGGATCATTTTTATTTGTCGGCCTCTCTGAAGGTTTGAGGGTTTACAGCTTGTCTCATGGTGACTGGATTTGTGGCTGGGAAGCAGATAAATTAGAAGTGTGCAGCCTGAGTGTATGCCAAGTGAAAAATCAGACGTACCTTGTTGGCACAGTGGATGACATGGGTAAACATTTATCTTATATACTGTTAACATGAATGAATAAAATACGGATTAAATAAAAAAAAACCTCTCCCTCAAAACCATATGTCCTACACAGGCTGTTTAAAGCTGCAGCCCAATGTGGACCACAGTCGGCGTTTTGATTTCTCTTGGGAGCCACAAGTCTGCTGTGCCTGTGTTTCATAGTGTATAAAAGAGATTGAACCCATATTCTTGCAGAACAGACCTTAGAACAGACAGTCAATCTGCTTGAAAAGCTGTGACCTATGGTGGACAACAGCAGGTGGAATACGTTCACAAAGTTAAGTGGCACTGAGAATGAGCAAATTAGTTCCTTAGTGTATCATAGTATATGATGCACACGTTGCTTCTTTGAAGTATTGCACAAGCCAGCAAAAATAAATTGCCAGCTACAGCCCAGTGTACGCCGAAGCCTTTCAAACAATCAGATTTCCAGATCTGTATGAGTAGGGTCTTTGATGGCGAGAGGTTGGGGAGGAACTGGAGACACCTAATTCAAATCTGTTGTTATCTTTTAAAGAATGAACTGCATATTAGATTCTTTTATACACCATTTTAACAATTGGGATAACTATTCTGAATCATTATACTTTTCTTCTGTTATCAGGTATCGCTCGTCTATTCTACTTTTCTGAAGAGAACCTCCATTTTGTGAAAGCCATAAATGAAACAGTAAGAAATGTTTTGTTTGTATCAGAATCGGATGTATCCCACTACAGATACAGATACCACAGTTATTTTAGAAATAGTTTTCTGGTAAATTAATGTACAACTCCCCCCCGTTAAAACATCTGGCTAGCTTGTAGCCAGTCAATCCTCCCCAAATGGGTTTCTCCATTGTAGAGTGGGGTGGGATTCAACCTTATATTAGAGAGATCTGGGATCCTGGCAAGAAGATGTCTATCTTGTTCCAACATATAGAGAAAAGCTGTATTCTCCAAATATTCTGTATAGAGAATCCACCAGAGAGCGAGGATACCCTCTTGTTGTGTCCTCTAGGCCCCATTCACGCACGAATCGGCCTGCACGTACAGCACCGTGCTGCGTGCGGGGCCGTACCAAGCAGCTGCCGGGAAGGACAGGTGCTGCGTGTGATTAGTACGCAGCCCCCGTCATTCTTTATGGGGCTACGCTGGCCCGCCCTGCACGTCTGTAGGGGTGCGGGTGTGCGTATTCATACGCCGCCGGAATGGATCATGTATGCGTCCCGGCCAGAAAACCCGCACCCCTACGGACCTGCAGTTTAGGTGAGCGTAGAGGGAAGTACAGCCGCGTAGCCCCATGGAGAAGGACGTGGGCTGCGTACTAATCACACACAGCACCTGTCCTTCCCGGGAGCTGCTGTAGTACGGCCCCGCACACAGCACGGAGCTGTATGTGCGGGACGATTCGTGTGTGAATGGGGCCTTATCCTCCAGTGCAATTTACAGCTGTTCTGGATTTTTATATTTATTTTTTGTTACTGAGTGCTTAGTTTGTTTTGCTTTAAAATGTAAAGTTCTTTTCTTCCTGTAGAGATTTTATTACTAACTGTGTGTTAAATGTTTTTACAGGAAGATATAAGCAAACGTACTGTTTGTAAAACATTTCAGCTGTCCCATGGAGGTGACTATGCTGGAGTTCTTTTGGAAGGTGGGTAATTTCTAGTTAAAAAAAATGTATGTAGTGCTAAGATGGTAGCAACTATATTGGTTATTTATGTTAAAAGAGAACTATGGAATAACCCTTTTACCCCATAGTTCTCGTAAGGGTCACGAGAGGACATTTACTAACCTCCTCCCGTGACCCAAAGCACAGTATATAGCTGAGAGCGACGCAGCTGAGATTGATCCTGACAATACTGTCGAGATCCACCCAGCTGGCTGATTGACAGCGGGCTCTGCCTACCTAGGAGCAGAGCCAGCCGTGCCCATCCCTCCCCCATCCATTTCTCCAGTCAGTGCTGGGGGATCAAAGAGGGGAAGGAGGAATGCCTGCGGGGAGCGGTGACTGATAGTCAGGGAGATGATCGGGAACTGAGTGAGCAACGGTATGTGTTCGCTCACTTCCCGATCTGTTGATCTGGCGTGTGACAGTTTCATTGTTACACATCGGCTCGAACTATGAGGATGAGTGAAACTCACTCACCTCTTAGTTCTCCTTTAAGTTACAGGTACAAGTACTGTTTACCTTCTCTGCGCTCTTTGAACAGATATCGCTATCTAGTTATTAAGATTTATTCTTTCTGTTGCAAAGCTAATGCAAGCAATTTAAACATTATTTTTTTAAAGTTGCTGTTCTAATTGTGAACTGTGCAAAGCAAAATTTTACAGTTTTTGTTGTTGTTAAACAACTGAAAAAATGCCCACATAATGTATATAACATGTTGATTATGTGGTATACATTTAATAACCTTGTTTGTACTATAAATTTAGATTTCAGAGGGGGGTGACACCAAAATGACTGTGAGTCATTTTGGTGTCACCCCTCCAATGGTGTCACCCTGGTGCGGGCCTCACCCCCCGCACCCCACTTGTGACGCCAATGTTCACATGTACATGGAGGCAGTCGTATTAACTTATCACAGAAGCAGGTTCTGTTTTGCAGGGCTACACATTGGCCGTGCTTTACTGCTCCTTCTCACAATGCAGGTTGTCTGAACAGCTGGGAAAATGCATTTTTCATGTATCTGATATCTTATCTCTACTGCTGATAAGCGAGAGACAGAATAAAGCTGGCCATACACTATTAGATTTTTTTTCATTCAGACTATGAGCCCAGGACATTCAACAAAAGTCAATTCAGTAATCGACTTTTGTCAAGCTGGCAGAGCCACCCACCGTAGGAATTTCAGCCAATTCCTGTGTTTGGCCTGCTTAATTCCACTAAGCTACGACTAAGGCCCAGTTTGGGGGCTGAAACATGTAAGCATTTGTTTGTTGCTGTTCTGCCTTTTTGCAAATAAAGTACTGGATGGACGGGTCCCCTTGCAAGTGCCGTTTTTTTTACCTATAATTCCACTAAGCCACTGGTGGCTATAACCCTTTTAATGCCGAGGCGGTTTTTGACTTTTTTTGTTCACATGTTATAATCCACATTTTAGGCCTGAAAATTACCTAAAACTCCCAAACATGGTGGCAGTTGCAAATTTTTATGTTGCATGGCATTTGCACAACCTATTATCAAACCCAAACATTTTGTAAAAAATGCATTTATGTTAAATTTAGTGCCCCAAAACACAATATAAAACCCTTTTTTTTGTACAATATAACAAATGAGGTTACAACAAGTAAATTGATACCCAACATGCCCAGGTTAAAAATAGTGTGCGTCTGTGAAACTGCGACAAAATTCAGTACCCCAAAAGTCCATAGCGCTTTATTAATTTAAAGATATGCTTAAATATTGGTCCTAGAATTATTGCTCTCACCCCGGTCGTGTGCGGCAATACCCAACATGTGTTTTTGTACGTAGGCGCACCCGACGCGTGTTTACGTGAAGACCTGCATGCTCGCGGGGTACTTAAAAAAAAATTTGAATTATTTTTACATTTATTTTATTTAATATTATTTTTAAAACAGTTTTTTTTTTTTAAACTTTAATTGCTATTACATGGGGCTTACAAGCCCCCCATGTGATAGCATATTGGTGGTGTCAGATACTCTTTAAGGTGATACTGGGGGTCCAAAAGACCCCTAGTTTCATCTTTCCACTCTAAATAAGCTATTGAAGTGCAGATCACGCTTCAATAGCTTATTTCTGGGCTTCAGTAGCCGAGCAATGACAGCTATGGGACCGGAAGTGATGCAATATGCGTCGCTCCTGGTACCATAGAGCGGGGAAGAGATCAGTGAACGAAGGTTTGCTGCTCTCCTTCCCAGCTTGCTGCCGACACCGGAGATGCCGGTCCTGGGCCCGCAGGAGGGGCAGCGGAGCCCAGGAAACATGGGGGGGGGCGGCCACTTTACTGGCCCGTAGAAGCAATCTGACAACAGCTGAATTACCAGAATCGCTTCTACTATAAAGCTGGCCACCGGCTCTACAAATATGAACAGAGTCTGTTTAACCCCTTAAGGACCCATGATGGAATTTTCCCGTCGTGGGTCGTGAAGGGGTTAAAGGGACACTAAACTCAGGAGTTAAATCTTTAAAATGCATTAAAATACCTTAACTGTTACCAAAAATATATCTTAATTGTGTACCACTCAGCTGTAGATCCTCAAATCATCTCTGAATTCAAGCTCACACTGTCCTTCCTTCTGGAGGGTGCAACTTTTGTTCCCCATGGTCCCTGTGTTTGTGTTAGGCTATAACTTCAATACAAATTATTAAAACTAAACATTAGATTGTAGTCTATCACAGGAGTGAGTTAGAGCAGTGGTTGCTTTACAACACACACAGGGACCATGGGGGAGGTCAGTGTCAGCACCAATTCAGAGATGATTTGAGGATCTACAGCTGAGTGATACACACACATATATGCTCATAGTTAAGGTACTTGAATGCATTTTAGGATTTAACTCCTGAGTTTAGTGTCACTTTAAGCAAAAATTATTGGCATCAAATCACTTTTTCAGTTCTCAATTCTTTTATAAATAACTATATTAAATTCTACACTTCCAGTTATACCAGTAGTAGCCAGTGTGATTGCATTGTTTTGTTGTGAATATTCACTTGCTTGTGTCTATAGTAGATGTTTGTGTGTTTTACATTTTGCCATTTCTGTTTGCTTTTAGAAAAAAACTAATAACAATAAAGTAACAAACGGTAATGACATCTGCAGCTTTTAATTTAAACAAACCCCCTCTGACTAGTAAAACTTTAATGATAATCATCTCTTGCCATTTTGGCATTATGTAATGTTGGTTCTAATTGTTTTTCTAATACAATGTTGTTTTTCAGGTTCCGGGGAATGTTGGTTGGAAGTGTACAAGCTTCCCAAGGATTCCTGGCTGAAGGAGCTGGATTATGCCCATTTCACTATGCCAAGCACACCTCTAACAGGCACCGAGGTGGGCCCTCTAGCACACATAATTGTAATGCTTTTCTAAATAACAATTCTTACCAAAACTAAAATTTCTCTGATGGATGGACAGTCCTGAGCTGAACCACCTTTTTTTCATGCTTTTATTTATACCACCCTATCAGAGTTATGGTTTTGCAGTCCCTTGAACTGAAGACAAACGGCATCTGCTGCAGTCTCCTAATTTGAAGCTTCAGTCTATACAAAGCTCTTTTTAAAATATTTACATATAGTTGGGAAGATTAAAGCCTTCTTTCAGGTGATAATTGCTGTCTGTCATACCAGTTAAGAGATTTCCCCTTTCTTTCTGTGCTTGTGACACCTGAAAAAAAGGGGGGATTGTTGGTGGAACATGAAGCATAGGCAGAAATAGATGTTCTAACTCAGGGGTGCCCACAATTTCTGTTTTAAGATCTACTTTTTAAATGATGAGCTACATGAGATCTACCAACGGAAAAAAAACTCCCTCACTCTCTGTCTCCTGGCTGTCTCTCCTCACTCTCCTGGCTGTCTCTCCTTGCTCTCTCTCCTGGTTGTCTTTCCTTGCTCATCCTCCTGGCTGTCTCTCCTCGCGCGCTCTCTCTCCTGGCTGTCATTCCTCGTTTTTTCTCCTGGCTGTCTCTCTTTGCTCTCTTGGCTATTTCTCCTTGCTCTCCCCCCTGGCTGTCTCTCCTCTCTCTCTTTCCTGGCTGTCTCTTCTCTCTCTCTTTCCTGGCTGTCTCTCCTCGCTCTCTCTCCCCTGGCTGGCTTTCCTCTCTCTCCTGTCTGTCTCTCCCTGCTCTCTTTCCTGGCTCACCTTGCTGTGTTATGCAAACAGTGTAGTGCAACAGGCTGTGTAATCTAATATTCTTTGATGTAATACATAGCACTTGAACCGGCAGTATCCACCAGAAAGGTGTCAGGGAGCTTGGCTCAGCAGACTCAGGCTAATAGGTAATCATGTGCGCACAGCGAAATAAATATACCAGAATGGAATAAAGGGGCCGCCATTCACACCCTTCCTGATCTACCAGGATCAGCTTCGAGAGCTACTGGTAGATCACGATCTACCTAATGGGCACCCCTGTTCTAACTTTCCACCCCTGCTAAGAAAACACTTTTTATTACTATCCGTTTCCCCTTTGGAGAGATATCCCCTTGCATTCTTTCCTTCTGACACAAAGTAGCGTGTATGATCTGCCTGCTGGTGCTGTGTATGTTTACTAGCAGCCACAGTTAGATCACACAGCTCTGACAGAGTTGCCTGTTCATTCACAACACAAGCACTAGTCAGAGATCATTCAGTGCTGACAGGGTTCTGTTATGTATCTGCTAAGGTCTTGTAAACATACGCAGAGAGATCACACAGCTGTTAGACAGCCCTCAATACTTATCCATCTTCTTGTGAGCAGCGTGGTCTGACAATGGTGGGGGAAGGGGGGGGCAAGCTGTCGACGCTAGCTCAGCAACAGGGACAAATTCTCCATGCACTTGGTCCCCTGAGGCTTTTAATAACAGTTTTTGCTATGTGGTGATACTTCTTAAATTCATTATTTTGGTTCATGGGAGTGCTGCAGTATCTGTACAATATATGGCCCAAGGCCACCAGACTTGAAATTGTCTGCCATATCAGGTGGTGATGGTGAATAGGAAGATGAATCTAGGTGTTAATTGGATGCTTTTTATTGCTATGAATGACATCTCAAGCTATAATTAGTGAAATGTGTTAGTTGCGTTATTAATCCGGGTAGTAATCCACTTGCCACTGACAAAGTCAAAAATTATTTTCTGCCATTTTTGGTATAAATGGTCAGATACCTCAGTGGGGTTGTGTTTTGCCTACCATATTTGCAGTGCCAAACAGTATTAGAATAGGTTGAATTTTGTGGATCTTGTGATTTTTATCAGCTTTACTCTATTATTATGGCACTGTTGTCTCTTCTATGTGTCATTAATTGCTTAAATATATGAATATGTTATGATCTTTGGCCCGTCAAATAGGATTTCCACTGTTGAAGATGGATCACTAATTCTTATTACTCCGGGTTCCTCCATGGAGTCAGTAATGTTCCTTCTATATCATAAGGTTTTTCTTCATCTCAGGCAAATATCTTTTTGGAAAGCCATGAAATTGGGTTTTCTCTTGTCTCTGGCCTCATCAGCTGCTATTTTCAACTGTGGAAACTAAACAGAAACATTGTAGACATGCAGACTGCACCCACTGACTGTGATAGCAGGTACAGTCTGTTATATAAGATGGTAGGGCTTAGGGCTAGTTCATGCCAAGCGCGTTCCAGGAGCAGAGCAGTTACAGAACGGATCAAAACTGCATCTAATGTATTCCAATGGTATTTTGGGCTCTAGTTCACACTGCAGCGTTCAGTTCCAGAGCATGTAAAAAAAACTGCAGCAAGCCCCTTTTTTTTTCCTGGTCTGGAACGCACGCACACGCATTAAAAACGTAGGCAAACACCCTAGAACGCACTGAAAGCCCATTTTAGGCTAAAAACTCTTTAGGCTGAAACTCATGCAGATCTGGTCTGCATTTGGTGTGAACAAGCCCTTAGTATCAGGATTGGATGGATGGCATTCAATTGTCCCTAGAACAGCTGAATGTAACACAGCAGATTATCCCTCTCATACCCTTGATAAGTCCATGTCCTTTTACTGAATACATTTAATTGGTGGATTGTACACTGTTGGTTGAATTGCATTTTGTGCAGACTCTAGTTATTGGTGACAGCATATAACAATAGTATCTCATCTTAGGCTTCAAATAGATTTTACTTCAAGACATATACTTGCAGATAGTGCCAGCAGTTTCCTATACATTTAATACTGAATGCTGTTTCATGCCATGCTTTCTAATTTAGTTTTAGTCATATTAATGCTGCTTTCCTTAAGTACAGCAGATGACATACTGTAATATTTTAGTTTTAATCAAATATTCTAATGTTCACAGGTACATATTTTTAATGTTCTCTTTCTGAACCTCAAGGACTGAATTGCTGAATCTGCCTCATTATTCTGAGATCTCAACACGTTAGTCAAGTGAACTTCTATTGAAAGTTTACAAAGTTCCCCTTAAAGGAGAACTATGAGGTGAGTGCTTTTCACTTACCTCATAGTTCTAACCGACCTGTGACAATGAGACTGTCACAGGTCGGCTCAGTAGATCGGGAGGTGAGCGAACAGATACCGGCGTTCGCTCACCTCTCGATCCTGTCACAGCTCTCTGCCGTGACAGGGGAGGGGCTGGATTCCCCCCTCCCCGCTCCGATCCGCCAGCGCTGACTGGCGGATCGGGTGGGGGGGGGGGCGGGTACAGCTGGCTGTGCCTCTAGATAGGCAGAGCCAGCTGTCACTCACGCAGCTGGGCGGATCCAGACATAATTGTCGGGATCCGCTTCAGCTGCGGCGTTTCAGAAAACCGCGAGCTACTACTGTGGCATCTCAGTATACCGCGAGCTGTAGCTCGCGGTATACTGACCTTAGGGTGACGGGAGGATGCTAGTTTGTGTCCTCCCGTTACCCTAAGGAGAACTATGGCGAAAAGACTTAACCCCATAGTTCTCCTTTAATATCAAATGCTTAGTGTGTTCAATGCAGTTCTAGTCACCTTCGTTCTGTATCCAGCAGGTGGCAGCCTTGTATTCGGTGTATGTATCATAATTTTAGAACTATAAATCATATGATAGATGTGACACATGCACATATCATTCTATGGGTAAACATATTTTATTAATACCTATCTCTGTTGGCTCCTGTACAGCAAATCACATGGTTGGTATATGCAGAAAAGTGCAATATCCTGCAGCAACCAATGATCTATCATCTTTCAGTGTTCCAGCTGCTTAAAGGGTTAGTTCACCTTTCTAATAAACATTCTAGTGCATCATATGGGTTTAAGTAGTGTTTAAATCTTTGTGCTGTTGAGGGAAACTTTGCCTCTTTTAAATTGTCTGCTTATAGGCCAGTCATTGCTTCCATTTTGCCCCGACTCTAAAAGTTGCTGTCAATGTAATCATCCTGTAATTAATCCAGGATTGCCTAAACATTGAGGGTCAAACAAATGAAGTAATCCACTGACATGTCTGGGCCATTAACTCCCAGCATGCAATGCACAACCTCTCCTCTTCCCGTTTGAGGGTGCACTATGGTCTTTTAGCCCACCCACTTGAACACAGGCTCCTCATTCTTATTCCCACCGATTCCCTGCATTCACTTCGCCTCCCCCTTTGTTGGATGCATTGAATTCTGGGACATGTAGTTTCTTCAACAGACACTAAACCACAGTCCCCGGTGTACAAAAGCGTACGAAAAGCTCTGGGGGCACATATTTTGAAAACGCTGTGAAATGCAGGATATCAAAATGGATGGGTAAGCAGGATTTTCAGAAAAATTACCATGCACATAAATATTGGCATCTAAAGTATGTTTAATCAGTGCAGAGATTACATTTAAAGTAACAAAGGTGAACTAACCCTTTAGGTTTGATTGGTTTGCTATGGGCTATCACACTTTGCAAATCACCCCTGTTTTTACAGTGCCTTAAATAAGTCTGCAAATGTGTAAAGCATAAATCACTATTGGATTTCTGTCCCTGGCAAACAAGCTTTCTAAAATGATAAATTTACCAACGCTTATTGTAAAAACCCTGGGAGCAATTTTTTAATAGATCATCTGAGGTTACTTGATCATTTTGTTTTCAGTGTAGCTTTTATATGTAATGACAAGTAACATTCATTTGTGGCTGTTTTGATTATAGTCTGCCGGTATGCCTCTTATGTCAGAGCCAAAGGTCACCCAGCCAGTGCTTTTAATGAAGATTAAGCCACCAAAGCCAATTACAGGTAACATGATTTCATTGATGATCTCTGTGAATTGTAACACTTGCCACATTAGTTAGCGCTTTCACCTCAAGGACACTAGCTGCATACAGTTTATTCTTCCCCTGTTTACAGTTGCAAAGTTGATGAACATATGAGACATTAGGCTCAGTTCACAAAGCTTCAACACCTGAATAAGTATCTTTATTTCAGCCATGATATGTGTCCTTATCCTAATGTGTTAACTTTGTAAATTGAGCCGATTGAGTGTCTCAGGCCATAATCATAGATCGCCAGTCCACCGTACAATCACTATCAGAATGTGTCACCCATTTGGTTGTATGGGTATAACAGAGTAACAAACAGGGTGCCATTCACATCATCGGTAAACAAGCAGAAGCATTTGCAGTGAACTAAGGACTACCAGCTCTGGACTGTCAATGACTGGAAAAACATTTGGTCCTTTCATTCTTGGCTACAAATGCATTAACCCACAGATACGGCTTATAACAGTCGATATCTGGGCTATACACAGTACTGAAAACAAGGTTTCTATTTTTGTCCACAATATTTTTATATACATGCATTGCAAAGAAACTGAATTATATGTGTTATTATTCATACAGAAACCATGTTAATAATGAGTGCATGTGCTATGCAAGTATGCATGCAAGTAATGCAGTGTTAGTGGATTCAGAACTACCTATCTTTGCATTGCCGAGGAGGAAGGGCCAAAGACACAAGCCAAATGTTTCATATGTACCTGACATCTAGAAACCTGGGGATAACATAAAACATACATCTTTCAGAGAATAGGTTGTAGATTTTTTTTAAATGGCATTTTTGTTAAGCTGCCGTTTTAGGTACAACTAGTCCCTGAAAGAGTTTTCTTAAGCACATCAAATAGGAGATTTACAGGGTAATTCCAGCAAAACACGTGTGGAGATGTGTGTGCATAGTTTATAGTTTTTTTGTAGTAATTTGTATACACTTGGTAAGAATAAAGCAGGGATGGCAGATGATGGAAATGGGACCTTGTGCACGTTTTAAAGCAAACCTGTGTTTTGCCTAAGGAGGGCAAAGCATCACATTTGGGAGTAAGCAAAGATGAGTTATAATCCACATTTTAGACCTGAAATTTACTTAACACCCCCCCCCCCCCCCCCCCCCCACCCCCGCGGCTACCA